CGGGTGGGGCGGGGTGGGGTTGGGGGGGGTGAGTAAGAAGGTGAGGTTTGTGTGAGGGAGGGAGAATCACCAGATGGGCCAAGGGGGCAACGGGAAGGAGAGCGTTGACCTTGCACAGCAGCCGGGATCGGAGAAGCTGCTTGTCAAAGCAGCTGACATCCGTGAGCCCCTTTCGGCCCCAACGAAAGACTAAACATTTCAGCTCTCAACAAGTCCTGCCTCAGCTTGGCCCTGTACCCCCAACACGCACACACACACACAAACACAAACACACACACACACACACACACACACACACACAAACACACACACACACGCGCGCGCACGCCCACATCGACCGCCGCACCTGCACGTACACCTTGCTGGGGCCGTCCCTGCTGAACGCCACGTGCAGGCCCGTGATCACGCCCGCCGCCAGGTGACCCTCCAGCGTGTCGCGGTAGATGTAGTCCTCGCCGGCGGAGCGGCAGCCGAAGAACAGCAGCGCGGGGCCCAGCTGGGCGCCGCCCTGCAGCAGGGCAGCACGCTCCTGCATGAAGCCGCACATCGGCGCCAGGCCTTGCAGGGCGGAGGGGGTATGGCGGACAGGGCGCATGTCAGCGCGCGAAATGGTGGTGTTGGCTGACAGGCGCGCACCCATTGTTGCTGGCGTGTCAAGTCCACATGACAGGTGGGACCCAGCAGCATATGCCCCAAAGTGCCACGCGTCACGACTGTAGAGCCCACCACAGCCCCCTCCTCACCCGTGCCGGGGCCGATCATGATGATGGGCGTGGTGGGGTCCTTTGGCAGCTTGAAGGTGCTCTGCAAGCAGCGCACCGTGCCCAGCAGGTGCCGCCCCACAGGCTGGGAGTGGATGAGCCCGCTGCTGGCGCCCCTGTGGGGCCGCCCCGTGGGGGTCGTGAAGGACACCAGCCCCACGGTGACGGAGCAGCGCCGCGGGTCCGCCAGGGGGCTGGAGGATATGGAGTAGTAGCGCGGCGCCAGGCGAGGCAGCGCGCTGACCAGCTCCGGCAGGCTGGTGGGCACGCTCCTGAACCGGGTCAGCAGCTCCACCAGCGTCAGCTTCGGGCCAGACACTCCCGCGCTGTACCCCTCCTCGGACGCCAGGCGCCGCAGCGCCGCCGCCTCGGGTGGGCAGGGGCACGCCTCCGCCAGCTGGGTAACCAGCTTGCGGCTCGGCACGGCGCTGAGGTCGCAGAGGTACCCCAGCAGCACACTCGCGGGCGTCAGGATGCGCAGGCCGGGCATGAGCTCCCCGAGCCGCGCCGGCAGCTTGAGGCCCGCGCCGGCGGCGAAGCCGCGCGCGGCGCCGTCCCTGCTGCCGGCGGTCCAGAGGAAGGGGGTGTCCGGCTCGAGGCCCAGCAGCTGCAGCGCAGCTTCCACCAGAGCGGGGCAGTTGGCGGGCAGGATCTGCGCGGCGAATCGGGGTGACGAAGGATTGGGGGATGGTTGTGGGTCGAAGCTCAAGATTGTGTGGGACAATGGTTGCTGCAAGATTTGATGCGCAAAGGTAGCCGCGGCGGCGGGCCCGGACACCCGGACTCTCCTGCCTGACGCCGCTTGGTGCGCGCGGTGCGGTGGGAGCGCGCGTGCCGGCAGCGTTTGACCAGTCAAACACCTCAGACTCAATACATCCGACAACCCAGGGCCCGGTCAAACGCGCGGTCAACACGGTCAAGACTGTGAATTGACGTCGCGCCCACCTCCAGGTGGTCTCCCGCGGAGTAGGTCATGCCCTCTGGCAGCTCAAGCTCCACGTGGGCCGTGGCGCGGCCGCTGTCCGCAGGCAGCAGCTGGCGCGACTCCAGCACCTGGGGCCCGTCAAAGGGGGCGGCAAATGGTCAACGGTTACGTACGCTGCGCGGGCAGCCGATGGCGCACAAGGCGAGAAGGGTGCGAGACAGCCAGAACCTGCTGCGAATGGCGCTGAGGACGCCTGGCGCGAGCAAGGGGTGCAGCAGAGCGATGCGAGGCGTCCAGCCCGGCATGCCGCGGCCGGCTTTACGACCCTGGCGGCAGCGGCGCCGCGCCGCACCTTGAGCGGGAAGGCACCTGTCGTGGTGGACGCGCCCAGGACCTTGGCCGCCGCCGCCGTGAGCGCGTGCACCGCGTCCGCCTCCAAATCATGCCCGTTCCCAATTACGACGTCCACCTCGGGCGTCGCGCCCGGCGCGACGGGCTCGATCTTGGTGCGGCTGCGCGGCTCCGCGGCCGCCGCGGGGACGGCGGCAACGTCGGCTGCGGAGACCTGCGGAGGAGAGCCGGGGGGCCAGCGCGGGCGCGCACAGCACTCGGGGTAAGAAGGCGCTAGTTCAGTGTAGGGACATCGGTGGGATGGGTAGGTAGGCGGGCTGAGTTCGCTCGAACCTCGCACCAGGCAGGCCTGCGCGCGGCTGCGCCGGCAGCGATGCTGCTACGCGCTCCGCGCTCACAAAGGCGACACAATGGGGGCGCCGCCGTCCAGGCGCGGCCCCACACCCCGCCGCCGCCCCGCCGCCGCCCGCCCGCGCGCCCGCGGACGCACCCCGAACGCGCTCAGCGCCGCGGCAACGAGCGAGTCGCTCCAGTCGTCAAAGGCGTCCGTCACGCCGGCCTGGTCGACGTCCACAGAGGACAGCGGCAGCAGCGCCGCCGCGCCGGCCGCGGTCAGCAGGCCGTCCACCTTCTTGGGGAAGGCCTGGAACGTGGCGGCCCACTGGCTGTTGCCCACGCCGAACACCGCGTAGCGCACGCCCGCCTGGCTGCCGGGCGCCGCCGCGCCGAGCCACTTGCTGAAGGCGGCCGCGTTGTCGGGCGGCATGCCATTGTACGTGCTGGTCAGCACCGCCACGGCGCCGGTGGTGGGCAGGCCGCCGCTGCCGCCGCCGCCGGCGATGGCCAGGTCGAGGGAGCCCACCGTCACTGCAAACCCCGCGCCGCGCGCCTTGGCCGCCAGCTGCTGCGCAAAGTCCTCGCACATGCCGCTATTGGAGCCGAACAGCACCTGCAGCGG